ATGGACTCTACACAGCGGCCTCTACCATCAGTGTGTGAATGTGTGTGAATGGATGAGTTAATACTGACGGACTCTTTACACAGCGGCCTCTACCATCAGTGTGTGAATGTGTGTGAATGGTTGAGTTAATACCGATGGACTCTTTACTCAGCGGCCTCTACCATCAGTGTGTGAATGTGTGTGAACGGATGAGTTAATACCGATGGACTCTTTACTCAGCGGCCTCTACCATCAGTGTGTGAATGTGTGTGAACGGATGAGTTAATACTGATGGACTCTTTACTCAGCGGCCTCTACCATCAGTGTGTGAATGTGTGTGAACGGATGAGTTAATACTGATGGACTCTTTACACAGCGGCCTCTACCATCAGTGTGTGAATGTGTGTGAACGGATGAGTTAATACTGACGGACTCTTTACTCAGCGGCCTCTACCATCAGTGTGTGAATGTGTGTGAACGGATGAGTTAATACTGACGGACTCTTTACTCAGCGGCCTCTACCATCACCGTGTGAATGGATGAGTTAATACTGATGGACTCTTTACTCAGCGGCCTCTACCATCAGTGTGTGAATGTGTGTGAACGGATGAGTTAATACTGATGGACTCTTTACACAGCGGCCTCTACCATCAGCGTGTGAATGTGTGTGAATGGTTGAGTTAATACCGATGGACTCTTTACTCAGCGGCCTCTACCATCAGTGTGTGAATGTGTGTGAACGGATGAGTTAATACTGATGGACTCTTTACTCAGCGGCCTCTACCATCAGTGTGTGAATGTGTGTGAACGGATGAGTTAATACTGATGGACTCTACTCAGCGGCCTCTACCATCAGTGTGTGAATGTGTGTGAACGGATGAGTTAATACTGATGGACTCTTTACACAGCGGCCTCTACCATCAGCGTGTGAATGTGTGTGAATGGATGAGTTAATACTGACGGACTCTTTACACAGCGGCCTCTACCATCAGCGTGTGAATATGTGTGAATGGATGAGTTAATACTGACGGACTCTTTACACAGCGGCCTCTACCATCAGTGTGTGAATGTGTGTGAATGGATGAGTTAATACTGATGGACTCTTTACACAGCGGCCTCTACCATCAGCGTGTGAATGTGTGTGAATGGATGCGTTAATACTGACGGACTCTTTACTCAGCGGCCTCTACCATCACTGTGTGAATGTGTGTGAATGGATGAGTTAATACTGATGGACTCTTTACACAGCGGCCTCTACCATCAGCGTGTGAATGTGTATGAATGGATGAGTTAATACTGACGGACTTTACTCAGCGGCCTCTACCATCACTGTGTGAATGTGTGTGAATGGATGAGTTAATACTGACGGACTTTACTCAGCGGCCTCTACCATCAGTGTATGAATGGATGAGTTAATACTGACGGACTCTTTACACAGCGGCCTCTACCATCACTGTGTGAATGTGTGTGAATGGATGAGTTAATACTGACGGACTTTACTCAGCGGCCTCTACCATCAGTGTATGAATGGATGAGTTAATACTGACGGACTCTTTACACAGCGGCCTCTACCATCACTGTGTGAATGTGTGTGAATGGATGAGTTAATACTGATGGACTCTTTACACAGCGGCCTCTACCATCAGTGTGTGAATATTTCCGAGGAGCACATGAATGCAGCATTAGCCAAATTGAAGGCTAGCTACAGCTTAGCTTGACAAACGGCCTGATATCCTTTCAGATTTGAACCCTCCGATGTCTTTTGAGAAGCTAATGAATCAGGAAGACATGAAGTCTGTCAGATTCCCAACGTTTATAAGACTTGTTACCTTGAACGCAGCATGAGAGGATATCACTACGTTTACGTTTGAGCGTCCCTCTCTGAGATTGACATCAGAGAAAAATGGCCGCTATGTGACTACAGTAATCAGGGTCATTGCTCAGAGTTGAACCCTTCAGACAGAAGAGAGCGTAAAGCAGTTCAACATGTAAAGCTCACTTTGTCTTTAGTTACATTTTGGACATTTTTGGATGAGCTGCAGTTCAGACCGAGAGCTGCAGACTTTCACATCCAGAGATGATTCATCGGTTTTCCCACTCTGTGTGTGTGTGTGTGTGTGTGTGTGTGTGTGTGTGTGTGTGTGTGTGTGTGTGTGTGTATATTTCATTGACGGGCGCAGAACAAAGATGGCAGGTGTCCAAAGCTGCAGGCAACACTCAGACCAAAACCAGATCAGAATCCAGGTCACTGGCCGGGACGTGAGAGCGTCACAGAGAGCGGCAGACACGTAAACACCGACCAGCACTGAAGGCTTTTAACGGACTCTGTTACACAGACTTTAACACATGCTCAGAGTTAAGAATCGACTGTTTTAGCTGCTCTGTGGTTCAGTTTTTAACCCTCCACCTCAAAGTCAGAGAGTCTGCAGGCTCTGTGTTTACACGCTGTTCAGCTGACATATTAAAGGTCCACTTAGTGAGATGATAAAGGTATCTTACTATCTGATCATTAAGGAAACATGCTATGTTGAAGTGCTGGCTTCTCTGACAACAATGCAGCAGCCAGTATGTCCTCCTTCTAACTTTAGATTCTGCTCCTGAATGCTCTGGATTTGTTTGGACCAGAGAAGGTAGGCGCTTTTAAGACCCCCCCCACACGGCCGTTTTGGATGCCCCTCGGTTTGTCAGATATGAGAGCAGTTATCAGGTCAACAGGTGTTACAGCGATGGAAGCGGTCAAGAGAAGTGGTTCAGATAGAAGTGATTGTACCCGACCTAAAAAGCCTCTGCATGTTTCTAATAAGCTCCACGAGCAGAAACGTGCTCAAACTAGGATCAATATTGGAGATGCTTTTGAAAAATGGAGAGAGGATAGAACACAGAAAGGTTTACAGACCCATGCAGAGCTGGATAAACACTGAAGCTTCAGAGTCCACCACATGGTGACCTGAGTGAGCATCCACTCTAGAGAGGAGGGGGGGGAGACAGCTCTCTATAATGTTTAGAATTTAGACTGCAGTACCCATTTTAAACACTAGGGGTCAGAGTTACATACTGCTGCATTGGGATTGAAGTAGTTGCACAACTTTTTCTTTAGTAGTTTTTTGTACTTAACTTCTAAGTCGTGCCTTTAAAAATGATGTTTGTTCATTTGTTTTTGGCGACAAACCTCGGCAGCCAGAAGAAAATATGTTCTTACATTTATGGATTCACAGATTTGCTAACTGTATGATTATACTCGTCTTTTGTGCTTTTAAGAGAGAGAGAGAGAGAGAGAAAGAGAGAGGGGGGAGTGACGTGCGGGCAGGGAATCAGAGGTCGGACTTAAACCCGGGTTGCCCTCTTGGAGGACTACAGCCTCACCTCAGTGCATACGGCGTGCTTGCTAACCACTTGGCTACCCCTGGTGCTTTGATATTTCTGCATTTTTATTTACATTTTTTTTAATGGTTTTTTTTAACAGATATGTGATTTATATTTAAACATGCTTTATTCACTTTATTTATAAATCAACTTTCAGACGAATTCAGCTGCAGTTTAAAGTTTCACAGGAGAGCGTATAGGTGACTTTAGAGACTAATGCACATCTATAAAAATTCAATAAAACCAAACAAAAATAAAGGATGATAAAAATAATAAGACAAAAGAAATAAAAGACCCTGCAACAAAATTATATATTAAAATTAGTAAAATACAATACTTTTTTTTTTAAGATTTCTCCCTCAATTCATTACGATATTTAATTTAATCTGTGTATCTTGTTGTGTTGGGCCTTTGGATGCATTTCCTGTACTTGGTCACTAGATGGCGCCAAATATCTATTTTTATTTTCAGCTTTCATGCAAACGATTCACCCCCAACTTCAGCAGCAAATCAGATCCCTGTACCTCCTGTCATCCGTGACTTTTCATTTTCTTTATGTCATCCATCAAATTACGGTGACGGAAACTTGACTCTTATAGATGTGTAAATACTTTTTGATCGTTTTCTGATGTATGAGGACAGAACTTAGAACCTTCTTTGAGAATGCATGGGAACGAGAGTGACAAACATCAACAGAAGAAGGAATCTGGGCTCAGATTCTAAAAAAAATGGTTCATTCCTCCTCAATGTGTACACGGCGTTCTTCTGCAGACCTTTCTAAATCTAAATCCAAATGAGATAGAATAAATCCACAACTCAACTCTACATGTGACAGATGTTAGACTGTGGATGCAACACTCATCCACATGTTTTTGTTGTGTCCTAACTCAGAGGGTTCTGGAAAGCTCTCTCCACAGTACCAACTGTTAGACCTGATCTGGACCCTCTTAAGTCTCTGTTTGGACTGGTCCCCCCGAGGGGAGGCACTGCAGCTACCAATCAGGGGTCAAGAAGTTTTAGCTTTTACCGGGGGTGTTATGCAAGCCAAAATTCTGGCGGGGGCTAAGTTAAAGTGGGGTTCACTAGCAAGGAGCACGCTACAACCTCATGTATTTGAGATATTTAATGATAGACCATGCCACCCCTCTTGATGCACGTCCCGTATGAACTCTCTCTCTCTGTTCACATCATGTTACTGCATATCTGTAAATCTTCACGTACTATGTAAGTTACAAACCACAGATTTTCTGATAGGTTCCTTGGAATCATTGGCGGGGATGGCCTGCTGCTAAGACCCCCCCCCCCACTCCCCCCCGTTTGTCCATTTCCTTCTTCCTGTTTCTTCCTCATCACATTTTTCACCAGATCGCTTTTCATCATGAGTCTGATTTTGCCGCTCTGACTTTGCTAAAAGTTGCTCATGATGGATTAACATTTGGAACGTAACAAAGCTCATTAGTAAAGCGTCTCCAGATAATATTTGTTGTAAATTGGCGCTGTACAGATTAAGACTGATTGGTTTATCTGTATCTAATTGGACGATTGGACACCAGTGTCGTGTGAAGTTTGTTGGAAAGCTTGAAGAAGCAAGTCGGGGAAACTTTGACGCTTTGATCCCAAAAGGCAAAAAGAAGAAAAATCCACAACAAAAGTCCAGATTCACTTTGAAACATTCTTTATTAACTTTATCTTTTAAACAACAAAATCATTCAGAATTCCACTTTTAACAGTCGAGAAAGAAAATCAAGAAGCGAGAAAAGAAACAGTCTGTACACTGAAAACAGCAGTCAGCGTGGAGGAACTTTAAGGTAAAGCAGACGTCCGTCAAACACGTTTAACTTCATACTCTGAGCAGGTACCTCGGGGGAAAACTAAGAGTCTCAAACAAACTTTCATAAAAAATAATAGGCCGATATCTGAGGACTACTGGAGCACGTAAAGTACCGAGTACAAAATTAAATAACAATAAAATAAAGTAAATATTGGCAGCGAGGGCACAATGTGACTACACACATAACGTCATAAATAAAACAAATACCAAAGGAAGCTTATAAGATATGAAAAGTACAAACACATGAATGATATTACTCCGTATGTAAAGGGGTTTAACAGAAATCCTCAATTCACATTATGCAACCGCCCGACTGAACCACCAGGGGGCAGCACACCCACACTCTTTTTCTAACATAGAACAGGAACCAAAGGGATGGTCAGCCCACAGCCAGCGTCAGAGGGCGACGTTAACACTGAATATCATGAAAAACAAAACAGGAAACACACTTTTTATCAAACTGCTGATAAAGGCCTCGGGCTGCTTCAAACTCAGCTCACGTCTGAGCGTCTTAAAACCTTATCCCAACATCAAAATATGTGTTTGAGATCTTTTGGACACTTAAATTAAATCCAACACGGTTTTTTTATTCAGCGTTTATTTTGTCTTCTCAGGATCAGGCTGGGAAGCTAAAATGTTCTTATCGTGTTTTGCAGCTTTACAAACCAAAATAATGTTTCTACGTTTAATCGCTTCAAAATAGATAACAAAAAGAGAAAAGTGGAAATCCTGAGCATCAGACGGCTATATTTAAGGTTATTAGTACACAACCACTTTCTAGCTAGCCTACTCTTTGAAAGTGAACCAAGTGAACAAATTGGAGGCTTAAATCCCTAGCATAGCATGTTAGCTTGAAACTTAGATCATAATTTAAGCAGATTTGATTAGCTAGCTTGTTAGCAACTGATAGCTTGTTTTAACAACTTTCATTCAACCAATTGCGAGCTAACACTACTGCAAGCTAGGAATTTAGAGCTTTCTTATTGCCATGTTTGCAACTATCACGTGTGTTAGCTTATGTTAGCTTGGAAAAGGTTGCTTCCTAATGCTAACTATTAAGTGGGTTACGAATTTAGTTTTTATTTAAAAGAGCCGGCCCGATGTTTTCTAAACGTTAACTTCTGTTGTCTTGAGTTGGAGATGAGTCTTTAATGGTTGATGTAGCGATAAGACATGATAGCATTTTAGCTCCTCACCCTGAGAGTTACGACAGACTTTAACGGCCGCCGTGTGATGACCACGACTAACGAAGCCTTTAGTGTGAAATCCACTTTTAAGTTTTGCTTCCTGCTTTAAAAAAACACAAAACTTTATACAACACATACAAAAAAAACAACCTTTAACGTCTTCTTTAAACTGCAGCCAGTGCATTTTCTTTTCTGACACATCACAACAAACAAAACCTTCGGAAACAAGATCGCCACTCAGGGAAATCGAAGGAAACAAAACGAGAAATAATGGCTAGCTTAATCATGAACAGTGTTGTGGTTAAGGTTCGACGTCTTCATATAAAGAGTGCTCGTTTATGGAGCCAGCCACAGTTTCTGTCAGTTAGCCAACCAGCGGCTAACAGTTTAGCTTCAGTGGAAAAAAATAGCGAGGGGAACATAGACCCCGACCTTGGCAACCCTGCGCTTTTATTCTGAAGGTTTGTAGCGTTTCGGTTTTTTAAAAAAAGCTACAAATTCATAGAAAGAGGTAAAAAAAGAGCCGTCCTGAAATACACAAAGAGCAGGAGGGTCGGGAGGAGAAGCAGAGATTCATAGAAATCTGAAGCTGGAGGGACACAAAAGATCCTCCAGAACTCTTTAAGAGATTGTCGTTTCCCTCCAACACGGGGATACTTGGCTTGGACGACAGCGGCGTGGGCGGGGAACGACCCGGCGCACATGTTCGTCTTCGTTCTGGTTTCTTCAGATGCAGAAGTTTAGACCCTGCTTAGCAGAGTGGATCTGTGGAGACAAGAGGGACATGAAGCTGTTAACATCAGGAGACAAATCTGTGTTTACCTCCAACACGGTGACAGGAAGTAAGGATGGCAACACTGCCCCTTTAAATGTCTCCTTTCACAATAAAACAACAGAGCAGACGAGTCAAAACCGAAATCGCCACATCAGCAAATAATGTGGCATGAGCCGCTGTCAGTAGCAGATGTGTATTGATTGTGCCAAAGCAAGTTAATGCCGACATCTAGTTCACCTAACGACTGATTCAGAGACGAGGATTGTCATTGGACAGGTGAAGTCAGCTTATCAAACACGAGAGAAATGTTGTATTGTGGGACTCTGACACCATCATCATATGACATCATCCCTGATTTTCCCAATCGGTGCATCTCTAGTGAAAAGAATTACCGTCTTTGGAAACTTCTCTAAGTTTACTTTCCTTTTGTTATTTTATTTTATTTCATATCTTTTTATTTTATAAATACGACCTTATTCTCAAAACCGAGATTTTCCCTTTTTTTTTTTTTTTATCTGTTATTTCCTGACTTGCAATATTTAAAAGCAGACCTGAGCTGCAGCAACAGTTTATCTTCAGCTGATTTAAAGGTGTGTGTGTGTGTGTGTGTGTGTGTGTGTGTGTGTGTGTGTGTCTGCAGTGTGGAGCAGCACGTTCTGCTGACGCTGCTTGGCTGGAAAAAAAAGACAGATCGTGTCGCAGCGAGCGGCGCTCAGAGGGACGCAGGGCGGGCTGGCAGAGGATGAGAAAACGTGACCACACACACACACACACACACACACACACACACACACACACACACACACACACACACACACACACACACACACACACACACACACACACACACACACACACACACACACACCACACACACACACACACACACACACACACACACACACACACACACACACACACACACACACAGGTGTCCTGGTCTCAAACCTCCTCTCACCTCTGACTCTGCCATGAGTCGATATGAGGGGGGGGTCGGGGGTCATGACATCACACAGTTAAACTTTTTACATTCCTACTGGAGGTATTTTCACCTTAAAGTTTCTTTATTATGGGGATTTCTCTTTGATTCTTAGAAATAAAGCATTGTGGGTATTTTTGAAACCGTCTGTCCCTGCAGGGGGCGCTGGAGTCCCATCGATGGCGGTCTCCATGCTGGAAATGCTGTCTCAGTCTAACTTTCAGTCAACCTAACGACAGGCTGAGAGCTGGAGCTGAGGCGGGTTTTAAACCTCCTGACAAACCGTTACACCGCGCCCACCTGTCAATCAGGTCAGCTACACGCCTTATTGTGAATAACTCTTATCCTTCATCAAATCAAAACTGATGAGTCATCAAAACATTCACCCCCCGTACAGTGTGTGTCCATCCAGACATGAGCTAATCACACCTATTTGGTTTTTTGAACCAGGCTGTAAACATGTTCATCTCTGCTGTAAAAACAGGCTTTTTAGAATGGGTGTGTATGTGACTTCCTGTGCTTCTGCAGCCAGCCTCTAGTGGACACTCCAGGAACTGCAGGATTTTACACTTCAGCATCGGCTTCAGTTTTAAACACTGGAGGTTGCTGCTCATGTGGTCTGATATCCTGTTTGTGAAATGTGATTTCATTCTCTGCTCATAGTGTACTTTATCAAAATTTAAAAAGAGAGATCTCGTGTTCGCTGGGTGACGAGTTCTGTAGAACAAAACCAAAAAACGTCTCAGACTCGATTTGTGTGGTCGAAACCCACGGCGTGATGCTGCGGAGGAAAACTCCCCCGTCAGCTCTCTGGGGCTTCTTCAGTCATTACAGGAGACTGAACAAAGACCATTTTCTCTCATCCATCTTCTCTCACACACACACACACACACGCACACACGCACACACGCACACACGCACACACGCACACACGCACACACGCACGCACGCACGCACACACGCACACACACACACACGTCCAGAGAGCTGTCGTTAATGGGAGCAGTGTGTGTGTGTTCAGAGGCTAATTGTGTGAAAATGACTGATGTCCTTTATGTGTTATTGTGCCAGAGATGGTGTGACTGAGAAGACGGATGAGCACCTCTGTGTGTGTGTGTGTGTGTGTGTGTGTGTGTGTGTGTGTGTGTGTGTGGTGTGTTGTGTTTAATGCATTTATTGAACAGAGGTGTCAGCATCAGTGTGTGACCCTCATCCTCTGGGTCTGCAGGAGAGGGACATGATGGTGACCGAGATTGAAAGAGTGCAAACGCCTGAGGTTATGTGTGTGTGTGTGTGTGTGTGTGTGTGTGTGTGTGTGTGTGTGTGTGTGTGTGTGTAGAAGGAGGAGGAGCTTGATCATACACACCTCAGAGACTTCCATCTGTCCTTCTCCATGTTGTTCTCAGGACCTTCGCTGTCATAGGATGCCAGATACAGCGCTGCAGAGCAACCAGAGAAACATCCTCAGTGAAGCAATGAAATGTGAATTATAACATTTCGGGTCGACCGCCCCGTTTACCCCGATGACAACGATTTTAGCCGGTCGTAGTTTTGCAGAGAAGTCGTAAACAACAACACTTACCGTCCTCGGTGAAGGCCGGCGCCGTCAGCAGGTACTGCAGGATCTTACGGTCTTTCTCAAACGGACACTCCACCTTCTTCCACGTCATGAACTCGCTCACTTGTTTGGCCAGCTCCCAGAATTTCTACATACGATACAGAAACAGAGAATAAAGATTTAAAATCAGAAAGAATCAACTCTGTTTAAGGGTCGTTGCTTCTACTGAGGCTGCAGAGCGACCTCTAGTGGTCTACAACTGTTTTTAAAATAAGCTGTTCTGTTTTATTATAAACATGCTGGGACAGAAACTGGACCATCAGCACAGCTTCCCAGGATCGAGAGAATCCTAAAAATAGTTTCTGATTCAGCGTAACTGTGACCAAAAACACCAGAGGAAATATCTGAGTCTGTGTTTCTGCTCGCTGTGTTTTGTCCTCGGAAACACGCTCGAGTCAGACTTCCTCTTTCTCCACACTCTTTAGGGAAGTGGAAATAAACGGCACAGAATCTGTTGCCATGTGTAGTAAACACAGTGACGCTTCCTGACACAAAAACAAGTCAGCTGTGGTGTAATCTGTTGCCGTGGAAACTCCCTCGGGGGGGGGGGGGGGGGGGGATTGAATATATTCAGCGTACCTGGAAGTTGATGTGTCCGCTCTGCAGCCGGTTGACGCAGCCCTCGTTCAGGAAGTAGAGGTCCTTAATGAGCAGGCTGAAGAACGGGATGACGATCTGCAGGGCGACAGACAGAAAGAGGAAGGGATGAGGAAGACAGCGTGGGGTGGGGGGGGGGGGGGGGATTCACCGACAGGTGGTGGGACCTTTATAAACATCTCTACACAGGAAAAGGGTAACAATCGACAGAAAGAATGAAACTGAGCCTCTTCTGTTCTAAAAAAAAAAAAACACCTAAAAACAGCAGAAATGAGACTGGACATTTTCCAGAGAAGAAGAATTCCCCTCAAAGTCCCCTAAACGACCACAAGCTTTCACACAGGTCACGGCTCAAACACCAAACCTCCTTTAAATAACACACACCTCTTCTCGTTCTGGAGCTGAGGCAACAAACGGCGAGTTAACCCG